AATCTTTATTTTTTAATTCTAATGATATCAATAATTTTAATTTTATTTTATAAATTTTCAATTAAAGTCAAAATTTTATTTAAGAAATATGATTTCTTTTTGCAAAAATTTTATTTTTATAGAAACTATATATTTGTTTAAAAAAACCCATTTTTATTTGAAAATAATACATTATAATAAAAACTAAATACTTGCAAACATTTTAAAATAATTTATACTTATAATATAATTATTTAAAGAATATTAATTCTAATTTCTATGCAAAAAGTATTTCTAAAATATCTGATTTATCTGATTTAATTTTATTTTAAAATACTAGTAAATATTATTATAAATAGTTTTTTTCTAGTTTTATACTGTCTAATTTATATATTTATATTTTTATATAAATCATTTTACTATATTTTCAAATAAAATAAAATAAATGATTTTTATCATTATACTTAATTGTTTAATTTAGTAATATAGCATTATCAGATGGTAATTAGAAGTATTTTACATTATCTCTTATTTCTAAAGAGATTTCATGATACTTTAAAATTTTCATATGGATTATGCAATAAATTGAATGCAGTTGTCAATGATTTAAAAATCAAAATTTAGATAACTTGTGATACATTTATATGAAGGTTTTCATAATACATGAAAAATAATTAAAACAACTTCTAATATTAATTCTATAGCTAATTAAGCAATTTTGAATATAATATTAATCTAACCACTTTGATAACTACATAATTATATTAAAAATAATAAATAATCCAAAGTATTTTATATTTTAAATTTTAATTTATTTAATTTTATAATTTTAATTTGAAGTAATCATAGTCAAATGAGAATATTTTGATTTCTAATTTAGTTTAATTTAAATTAGAAATATTATCAATTTGTAAATTCTAACCAATTTTAACGAAAGCAATAAAATTATTCATAATTTTATGAATTTTATCATATTTCTTAAAATTAAATTTCAATTTATAACTTAAAAATAATATATTAGATAAAATATAAAAAAATTCTGTATAAAATTAATAATTTATTAAAATATTAATTATATCACAAAGTAACTTAAGATTTGCATTTGATATTATATAAAATAATCCGCATATAATTATAACTTCATTGGCTAGCTAGAAATCTTATTATCAATAAATGTAAAGAAGTTAATTTTACATTAAAAAGTAAAAAACAGGAGTAATCTTTCATTAAAAAGTACAATCTTTCTCGCTAATTCTTGAAATTGTTTCTAATATTTATTAAATCGGAAAGTAGTATTTTGAAATAATTTAAGTATTAGTATAAAAGAAAATTTTACTACTTGAATTTACTACGTCATGTGAAATTAAGTGCCCAGATAATTAATAAATAACTTCTCAAAGTTTATATTTAAAATAGATGTATATTTTTAAAAAAAAATTATTACAACGAGTTACTGCGGTTATATTTTTATATAAATATAAATTTTAATAACTTTTTTGGTGAGTTAGAATCTGCATAAGCAGAATTTTTCTTTTTTTTAATAAATTTAATTCTCCTGCAACCGGTTGATTGAAACCAAATCGCTTTACCAAATCATTAGGTGGTTAGTTCGTCTGTCTCTGTGTGGTTTATTTTAATATAAATTACTTTTCATATATAATAATTTTTTTATTTGGTTCTGAGTTCAATTTTAATTAAGGAAAGAGTAGAAGGAATAAATCTTACAAGAATCTTGGCTGTGACAATATTGAAAATAAAGTTCGATTGGAATTTTAATTAATATAATTTTTTTTAGTTCTTTATGTATTAAAACATATTTAACGATAAAATGGTTCAAGATTTTAACCAACACCTTCTGCCTCTGTAGTACTCTACCATGAAAAATATTCAAACCACTTTATGTCCAGTACGGTACCATTGTAAATCACTTATAACAATAATTTACACATTTATTTATACTTTAAATTATAAATGTATATAAAAATGGTCATTTAGGTTTATATGATTTAACCATTTTATATTTATAAACCGTATATTATATGTTTATTACAAGTGTAAATAACGTTTATTATTTGTATATGATATTATCAATAATCTATTATATATAATGCAGTATTCTTGTAAGCATTTGGTCGTATAATTTGGATACCATTTTAAGAAGTTGTGTTTATGAAATTATGGGTGATGGAACATTTTAAGATATATTATGAGTTTTCATTTCATCGAAAAATTCCTTTGTTAAAGTTAAAAATTAATATGGGCAGTTGTTATTCGGGCAAAATTCATGACAAACATAATAATCGTTTTTGGACATAATCGAAATTTCATATGAAAGAATCACATAATAACTTTTTTTTTGTTTATTATGTTGCATAATCCAAAATCATCCCTCTAATCACATCACCCGCTATAATTTATAAAGTTTACACAATCATAAAGGATGACTAGACTACATGGTGAATCCGTCTACCTATCCGAAGACATGGTGAAAGAGTCTACCTAGACCATCGCCTCCCTCCACAAGAGGGAGTATAAACACTCACAAAAGTGAATGCAACTGAGGAATTTACAATTGAATTCTATTCTTATTTATATGGGATTCAAAGATCATAAGATACACTAATTACGGAAATATATGGATGATTAATTTTGTCATTTTCCTCAAAATTCTCGCGTACAAATCAAATCATTCACTCGTTTTTGACAACGACAAAACCTATAAAATATTGTTTATACCAATTAAATAAAAAGAAAAGAAGAAGAAATCGGTGACTTGCAAGTCGAAATCAAAATTTTCAAAAATTTATTAAAGAAGCCAGAAATAAAGTTTATGGTGAATTAAACAAATCTCAATGTGAACAATAAAATTATTAAAATGTATCGATGTCTATACTGAACTTCGAAAAAGAATTACATTTACTTCATTTGAAATTCTATACATCTTCTTCAAACACACACAACCGTCACCACAAACAATTTCACTTTCGCAACCAACAAATATATTCACCTTCAAAAAAGGAACAATATATTATTATTATTATTATTATTAACTTTTTTTGATAAACTTTTATTAACTATTTAAAGCTCATATTTAGAGAACCAATCAAAAATGACGAACCGTTATTATTGAATTGATCATAAATCAATTACACAACCGAAGAGAAGATTATTATCAAAATTTCTTTTTTTGCTTTATATATCAAAATTTTTATTTGTTTAATTATTTTGTATATGCTGGTTGCTTTATATATAAATTTACAAATAATAAATGACAATTAAATCAAAAAAATCAAAAAATCAAATAAAATGATGTCCAAATAGTCTGGTCGGAACGTATAAACTCAAATAAATGTAATATAACGAAACTTAAAATAAAAAAAATCTCAATAATATCATCCAAGAATAAAAGTCAAACGAAAGTATAGTTAAAAGGATTAAACGAAATTAAAGAAAAAATCAATAATATGATGTAACATTTCTTATACATGAAAAAAAATAGATTATTTAAGAATCAATGTTGGAATTGAACCAAACTGTAAAAATAAAAAAAAAAAAGAAATTTCTTTACCATAATTGATTTTTACCATACATGCGCTCGGAAAGAATACAAATTAATGACAGTGATGCAGTCTGATTTCTCGCATCAACTGTGCCAAGCCTTTAAACTATTTATACGCAATTTATTTATCGCTTACAACCCGGTTGGGTTCTTCGTGCTAGAGAGAAAAACTTTTCACTAAAAAAGAGAATAAAAAACCCCCCGGCATTCCTATAGAATAGAAGAGGGCTTTCAATACATTAAGGACGTTATTTAGTCATCTCCAAACAAGGGAAAGATTGTAGAAAAAAGAAATACTTATCTTTAGCATTCCCGCCGGTTTGCTTATGACAGACGGGAAGAAGGAAAGGACTTGAAGTTTGAGGTGTAGAATTAATAAAAACCTTTCCAAGATATAAATAAGGCTTGTCAATGAAAACTGATTTATATAAATAATTTTGAGTGAATTGCGTTTGTAAATACGTTATTTTCATTTCTGATCTACACAATGATAATGTGTTACATTTTTACTTGTAGCTTTTGGCCCGAATTATCACGAACCATCAAAGTATTTATTGGCCGTATCATTTTCTTGTAATATTCGGTTATATGTTAAAGTTGGCAGGGACTTAAATCATGAAATATCAAGTATTTTAGATATCTTTCTTCATTAAGTATCGTCTCCGCGCAGTTTTAACAGGAGGATTGTTCAAGTTTGTATATTTTAATAATCTAAAACATTATAAATTTTTCAATTACTGATAAATTTATAGACAATGTAATTTTTTATTTTATTTTTTTTTTTTTGCGTAAAAAAATTTGAACACTAAGATAACGACGAAATTTTTTAATTTTTTTTCTCACCTTCCTTCGTGATATTCGTGATAGAACTTGAAAAATAATTAATAATTTTATGGTGCTCGGAACATCAATTAAATAAATAAAAAAGGTTTATTTTAAAGAATGTCCATATATCAAATAAAAATATATTACATAATACCACAGAACAAGTACTTCGCTTTCTAAAATATTATCTTCACTTTTAAAACTCTTTGTATCCTCACAAACATTTAATACACTATCATCATATCATCACTTTCTTTAAATGTATCAGATTTTTAACACTAGCACTAAACAATTGTCCATTGTTCAATTCTTCTTTAGAAATTTTCACTTAGTCCAACTAATTAATATTCAACATAATGATTTTCGCTGAAATTGATTACCTGGAAAACCTCATAATCATACATCATATGATAGTTCACCATTTGATAATTTCCTCCGCTCTCTGGCGATTCAGCTTCAATTTGAAGGTTTGCACATTAGAAAATTCTCCAAAAGGTCCATTACGATACGAATATTAACCCTTTTCATATATCAGTTGATTTATCTCCAAATATCAACCTCCATGATTCATATTGCGGTTTTGGAAATCTAGGCGCATAAACTTTACCGTCATATCCTGATATATTCTTTACCCTTTTCAATGAAACCAATAACGTGCGCTCCTTATTTGGAGCCATCGAGCCACTATCATGATTAATATGACAAGACAACCAACATCTATCATAGGAATGTTGTTGACGACTTTACAAATCTATGAAGTAATAATTTAATTAAATTTATTTGATTTGATCTCATGTAATGATGCAGCGTTATTTCTATATCAAACAAACGAAACGTTCCTTTTCTACATCAGGCTCGGAAAGTCTGCTAACATTTTTGAAAATCTTTGACAACTCCTCTTCTGAAAGATCCAATAATTCGCCTAGGAATTTGACGACATTTATTTAAAAATTATCACATCAATATAGAAGAATAAATAAATAAGTTCATTCAATAAATAGTACCTCGTGAAGAATTGAACTAATAATATGATCTTTAATTCCGGGAAGATTCAGCAATGGTGAACTCTCAGGCTAACATAATTGTTTAATGCATTGTAATAATGACATCGTATGAAGACACGTTTTTAACATGTTATTTTCGACAGTTATATCAATAATTGACTAATAACAGAGAAAAAAAAGAATTAGAAATGTATTGTGTACAAAGTTAATGCTGATATTCAATCTTACCTGTAAAATACGAATTGCTTGATCTAAAACTGACAGTGTGTCTGTAACAAAATCAACGATTGGAAATTTGGTCCTTATAAGGTGAGCCTGCAAAAGCAAAAATGCTTTCGCGCGTGTGGACTATCATATGGAAGATGAGATTGAACAGACCAAGGAAAGTTCCTTTTCTAAAATCTTGATTTTGGAGATCTTCATTATGTCGAACCGGAAGTTCAGAATATTCGTCTGAATTACACAATATTCCTAAAATATCTCGGATAGTTGAATCATTTTTAATATGGTCTCAGATAAGTCTGACCGTTAAAATCATCATCTATTTCAATACAACCAGAGAGACTTAGCTATTGCATAGACTTTTCAAACAAATTTGATAGATAATCATTAATAGTTTTAGAATAGGCATCTTTTAATTCATAATAAGTTGGATTTTGTTGTAATCTACGATATAAATAAGGGTAAGAAAGATATATCATGGCCTCTTTCCTAGACTTTATAGTACCAGCGACTATTTCGGCATTGAAATGAATTTCAAGCTGGATATGTAAGCTGGACTCTACCGGGAAAGGTTCATACAAAATTTTTTTATAAAAATTTTTTTTTGAATCCTGTAAAATATACAAGCAACACCACTATCATCGAATTGTGGACGAACTGATAAATTCAAAAAGAGAAATTATATTAAAATCATATCAACTAAAGCTCATTAACATAAAATTAATCGAAATATGAAGTGATGGAATGTTTAAAGATAATATTTCCGTGTAATGTTACTTACCAGCTCTACCTATCATTTGGAGTACATCATTAATAGGAATATACAATAAGAGTTCTTTTCATGCTACTATCCTTGATTTGAGATTGAATGGTTTGTAATTCTTCTTCTGTCATTCTCAAAAAATGATAAGGATTCTCAGTCAAACAACAACACGCAGTCAAATCCTGAGCGTTTGACGTCGTGATGACAGAAACACAATTACAGGCTTTTAGGAGAATGTCTCATAATATTAATAAAGGTCGGTTTATTCATAGTAGCCATACGAGGACAATAGTGTCTTTTAGAAAATCCTACGATATGAATCTCTAATGGAACAAGACGTACTAAATTACTAAAATTGAACAGTCCACCCTCATCAATACTGTTAAATCCTGAGCATTTTCTAAAATTGTTGATAATCCAACTATGCGAACTTTATTTTCGTTTTGAGAATTGATGTAATTCATTTGTGAAAAATAACCTCTAGTATAGGTTCTCTATTACCACCGAGTAAATGAATTTCGTCAATAATCACAAGTGATACGGCTTGAATATAACTTCTAATGATATCGGCATTTTTAGTAGAACGAAAGTCAGGGGTAACATCTCCTGTTAACTCTACAAGTCGTTTTTTATTGAACTGGTTAATATAGCTTGTCAATCATCTACACGCTCGCGAACTAAAGCTTTTAATGGAGCGATGTAAGCTACCTTGGGACGTGGATGTCCACGAAATGCCCACCTTAAAAAGCCAGACATAATATTTTATTTTTCACGCGTAAAATGTATGATGTTGAAAATAGGGTACAATTCATTCACTCACCACATTGCTAATACAGTTTTTCCTGATCCGTGGGCGTGCCAATCAATACATTGGATGAAGAATTATAAAGTTTCTCAACACCTGAGTCTATACAGGGTTGAAATGAGTAAATTTCTTAACACATATCTCTTCAAGTGATTATTTTTCAGAGCAGTTACAGGTAATGGAGGTAAACTCAACAATTCTGTATGTTGTTGATAATTTTCAGGCAAAACTAGATGGTTTAAGGAAACTGAAAGAAATGCCTCAGCTCCTATCCACCTATCTGATATGACACGAATATATAATTGAGGAGGTAATTGGATTGGAATTGCGAACCTAATCTTTTGAGTTTCTTCAAGTTGCTTCCTGTTTTATAACTCGATATTTTCAGAATTCTCGACGAATATCCACCATGGTTCTACAACACCGTGAATACGATCATTCCAAACGAAATCAGGAGTAATACTAAGAG